AGTATACTTTCCTTTAACATTTGTTCACAACAAAATGTTTTTTTCAATCATTTTGTTTTCATGAGATCTATCATTCTTGCACAATCCACATTAGTATGTATTCAACACTGGGTAATTATAACTGTAATAAACATGAAACTGTTTTCATCAATAATAAATATACTATTGACTTTTTAATTGTCACTTAGTGGAAATATATTAACTGAACTAGCTTGTGTATTCATCAGTTATCTATATAGAGAACAAGTAATGATTTTTCTTCCCATGTATACATTATCTATGTTCACTGATGATTAATATCCAATATGGATATAAATGAATTACTTTTAAATAAAATTCACAATTTTCAGTCGAAATTGAGTTATTGTAAGCATAATTCTACTATTATTCATGGGTTGAAATCCAATCACCAACAGTTATCAACAACATCATTCATTCTCAGTTCATTCAATTCTATATTACATCTAAAAAGGTATATTAGTATACAAGTATTGTATGTATGTGAATTTCAGAATTTTATTCAATTACATTAATATGTATGATATTATTTTCAATAGTTTAATAATATCTGTGTAGTAAACACTTAAATTTCTTTTCTCATTATGACTAAAATTGATATCATGAACCGGTGAATAGTTATTAGCGTATTATTTATTCTTAAAACTTTTACTTACGCCTGTTATTCCTCTTGGAGGAGCATAGTTTGCCTACCAGCATTATCTATCCAATTCTTTCCTGGGCAATCCTTTCCAGTTTTTATTCTTACTTACTACTCTTATTATCAAAACTAATTTGTAAACTATTTGTGTCTTAATAAATGAATCCACTTTAATTAGAAATAAAATTAAATACATTTATTTTTAAAAAAATAAAAAAAGGAAATATAATGCAACTGAAAATGATTGTGGTGTGTACTACTTATATTAGCATAAGTAGTATGTAACGCGAATCAATAATATAATGCTTGGTAGCAGAAGATTGAGAAGATCGAGAATGTAAGAACGGGATTAGAAAGCAATTAGTATGAAAATGCAAGAACAATGAAGTCCGAGACAAGTATTGAACATTTTGCAAATAATGTATTATAGTATGGTTTTTCTATTTTACCAAATAACTATGTAATTTTGAGCTAAATACGATTCGGTTATCCTCATCTGTGTTCTCCTTCACTACATAACCAGTGGTTTATTTTTTCAGCAAAACTAATTATACATGGATGCATAATGTTTTTTTTAGTTCGTAGATAAACAGTAGTATATTATCCCAATAAGAAGAAAAGTTATATTTTCTGCCGCTTCGTAACCTAATGTAAGCCACTTCTTCAGAGGATAAATAATCAAATCAAAATTAATCCAAGTTTAGTTCAGTATAGTCTTAAACATTATTTATTCCTACACATTAAGAATATTAGCAATGACAACCCTCATGTTTGTTTTTTAATGAGAATATGTTCAGTCTTAACAGTAATAATAATAAATTTTTGTACTCTTCCTTTCAATGAGGTAAATTATATAATCAAGAACTATTCACCATCTTCCTAAATAACAGCACTGTCATAAACGTAAATACACACACACACAAATCTAAAATAAGCTGAATAATCAGAAAATGTATTGTTTAAAACATTAAAAAATAAACATAAATTATTATTTTTTTAAAAAAACGTTATTGAAGGGGAAAAAATCTTTTTTTCCTAAAAAAAATCTAAAAAGGGAAATAAAGAAAAAAAATAATATTTTGGACTTGATCACATTTTTTTAAAAAAAAATTTAATTAAAACAAATCTATTTAGAATAATTTAAAGATTATTTAAATAATTCATACACGTGTTACCATTGTACATTTAACCATAATTTATCTTTTCTTCTATATAATAAAAAGCAGAAATTTTCAAATGATGAATGTATATTTATTTATATGGATAAAAAGTACTGATTACAAACGAGTTTTTTTTAGTAACAAGAGCGAAATTTGAAAAAAAGTGAATGATTTTTATTTTATATAATGTATAATACCTAATAGAAGTATCTTTATAAATACATAAAGTCGAAGGGGTTTTGTGGGGATTTTAGTAATTTCAGTAGTTGAAATCATAAGTCAATTTAAGCTAGACCATCATAGAAAACCTAAAAGCAATGGACGGCTGTTTCGTCCTAGTATCGAACTCCTCAGCGATGCGCATCCACGATCTCGCCTCCCGCGACATTCGAACCCAGGACCTATCAGGTTCCCGAGCGAGCGTACACTTTTGACGGTAGTATAAAATCACTTTAATTTATTTTAAAAAAAGCAGTAATCGTTCTTAACTATTACATTCTAACCTGTGTGTTAAGGTAATATGTTATTATCTAGAATAGTTTGTATCACTTATTGGATCGAGCCAGACGATTGTTGATAAACCGGTAAGTTTTGTACTAAATAGTGTGAAGCAACATCTTCACTAATGATCTAACTCAACGTGTTTAGCAGTCGTTCTAATGACTGTTAAATTAACATCCAGTGATTCAGATCTGTTACTTTATTCAATACATGATATCTCACAATCATCCATAACTATCATCGGTTACACTTGTTAAAGTCCCGGTATCTTTAAAATCCACCAGTGAAACATCCACACCTGAATAGTTGCATACTAGGACGAAATAGCTTCTAAGTGTTTTTTAGATTTCCACGGCTTGTTTGATTTCTTTCAGTCCATATTTTAGACTATCTTCAAAGCGTGAAATCTCTAATATATTGTTATCTTAGTTAATTAATTAATTTACTAAATAATTGCATTTCGTTAACTTCCATCAAAAAACATAAAAATAATTTAATTTATCAAAGTTTCACGATCAATTTGATTAAAACAATTTCAAAGTACCACAACTCTTCATAATTTGATATTCCGCAACCTTATGCGTAGAATCAATTGTACTAGGTACTCGAAGAATTACTAACTTAGCTTAAATGATCACCGAACTGAAATGCATAGCACACATTTAGTCAAGAAAAAAAATTCGTTCAACGAAGAGTCCTATTTTCGGTCAATTTATTCTCAAAACTCTACAAGTGCAACTGTTATGTACTTATTTTCCGAAATGATATTGATTACATCAATAGTGATAATAAAGTTTTTCGTTATTATCTGTTAATGTTGTTATTATCATTTTTGAAAAATAAGTATTTATTTCCGATTGTACAGCATTGAAAATGAATTCACTGAAAAAGGAACTCTTTCCGCTGAGCCAGTCTTTCTTATTTGATACCTCAATACGTATATACGGTTTACACATTTCTTCGCCGAATAAGGTTATATATATATATATATATATATATATATATATATATGACTTAGAAATATTGCTGACATCTGCTGTGATCACCGGGTAAGTAATAGTGAGGTTAGACGCAGGGTATTAGGTAATGATGGCAAATCAGTTGATGGGGTTGTGAATCTTCATCAACCGAGATGGTTGGGCCACGTGTTACGTATGTCCGAACACCGATTACCACGACGTGCAATGCTAACCGGTATTTGAGATGGTTGGAAGAAAGTTAGGGGTGGCCAAACCAAAACGTGGCATCAGTGCTTGAAGTCACTAACTTCTAGTCTGAGCCATGTTGGGAGATGTAGACTACTTGGTTGGGGTTCACGTGACTATCGTAATCAATGGTTGGAGAATCTTGGTGACATGACTGAGAATCGATCACAATGGTGTAGGAGGTGTATACACTCTCTGTCTTCCCTTAAACTAAGAGATTAAAATCGCTTCATATCTTTCTTTCGACGAACTAATTCTTTCTTCTTGTGCTATATACTTATACACAATCTTTTACATATTACTACCACTGAAGTAACTGCTTCTATGAATCTGGAGTTCATCTTGTTGTGCAAATGAGGTGTGGCAACTTGGACCGATGCATATATGTGCTCAATCCTACGTTGTAGCTGACTGAATGATATATATAAAGCTTTTATAATGAGAAACGTTCACAGACATACAGATGCACATTTGTTGACACACGTACATGCAAGTGCTGAAGAAGTCAAGAAAATTAAAAGTAATAAATAAACATAACATAAAGAAGTAGGAAAAAATAGTAGTTGAAGAACAATGAATTACACATTAATTTATGATATTATTATCATTAGAATTTATATATATTTATACAATATTTCTTGTAGAGTATCTAGTATTCAACTCATAAAGCATTTTTAAATGCTTCAACCGACGCAAAAACACATGCACAATTATATACGCTTGTATAACTAAAAAAGTGTACATATATATACTTATCATTTATTTCATGTTTCTTTCATGTTTTGATGTACTACCATTGTCATTAGCAGTAGTGAAGAAAAATTTAACACTAGTACTTGTTAGATATAGATAAATATATCCAATGAAATAAACAAATTTAGTTGAATAAATAATACTGTATTGACCTTTAGAAAGCAAAATTGAACTTTCTCTGTAAAAAAAAACAACTTTAGAGCATCATCGAAATAATAATAATAATGATTATAATCATTAATTTGTATGTTTATCAAATTTGATTGTTTGATCTCTATAACTGACAGAATGCTAAAAAATGAAACTTCAAATTTTAACATTGTAATAATTGGTTAGTATGTGTAATTTATGCTACAATAATTAATATATAGGTGAATAGATTAAAACAAAAAACAAAACTCTGGCTATACATTACATAGTTTTATGGTTTTTCTTGTTGCTTCAAGTTAAAGATGAGTATGAGAGAACCTAAACGAAAAGTTAAATGATGGATTATAAATCTACAAATAATTAGTTTCTGCCTGAGAAATTAAACAGCTAAAATGATGCAAAAATCTCAATATTATATTTAACTCGACTGGTTTGCTTTAATTTTCTTAAAATAATATAAAAATAATAATAACAGATGAAAAATGAATTAGTTACTTACTTTTCTCATTTATTTCTTCATTAAAATAATCAAATATAAACTTTAGGAATCAAAAGTGAATATGAAAATGACTGATGATGATGATGATGATGATGATGATGATGATGATGATGATGATGATGATGATGATGATGATGATGATGATGATGATGATGATGATGATGATGATGATGATGATGATGATGATGATGATGATGATGATGATGATGATGATGATGATGATGATGATGATGATGATGATGATGATGATGATGATGATGATGATGATGATGATGATGATGATGATGATGATGATGATGATGATGATGATGATGATGATGATGATGATGATGATGATGATGATGATGATGATGATGATGATGATGATGATGATGATGATGATGATGATGATGATGATGATGATGATGATGATGATGATGATGATGATGATGATGATGATGATGATGATGATGATGATGATGATGATGATGATGATGATGATGATGATGATGATGATGATGATGATGATGATGATGATGATGATGATGATGATGATGTAAATTACTTGAGTGGCCATATTTGATTTAATTTTTGTGAAAATTAATCAATTTATGGTGTATTTTAATCTTTATACAAGTTTCTTTGGAAATGAAATTTTTTCATTTTCAACTTCATTGACTCTACAGATTATAGTTTCACTTTAAGATTTTTGTAGGAAAACTGCATCTTGTATCTAATGACTGGTAAAAACATGATTGTTCGTATTATCTTTTCATTAAATTAAATATTCTAAATTTAGAAGTTTCAAGTCTTTTTTCACAAGAATAAATAATATCGTGGATTGGTTAAGGTTAGACATTAACATCGTTGGATGCCAACCGGCTCAGTGGTCTAGAGGCTAAGCGTTGGCGTGTGAGATCAAAGGCTCTGGTTCAAATCTCGCGAGCGGACTCGTGGATGCGCACTTCTGAGGAGTCCCACAACAGGACGAAAGGGCAGTCCAGTGCTTCCAGGTTTTCAATTGTGATCTAACATCAGTCAGTTCATAATCTCAATCAGAAATATCATAGAATGTTTCATATAATAAAATTCCAATGAAGTTAGATACTAGAAGATTATGAATTGACCGTTATTACGTAACTTATAAGTGTGCCTTAATTTCAAATGTTAGAAAGCCAATATGATAAACAATATGTAATTTTTATAAAAGGTAGCAATTAAGATAATTAAAGTGCATACAATTAATTTGTTTGATAAAATTTTGTCGAGCGAAGACAAAAAGCATTGTGAAATATAATGAATTGATTTCTTATTATCTTCTATAATTCGTTTACATATGCAATTCCCTTATGTTTTTTTAAAAATGCAGTTTACATGAAGCATCTTTGAAGATGTTTCATAATAGTAGACTGCCTAATCACTAACACACTCGAAAATAATTAAAATTTGAGTTTTTAATAATTGAACTCATGAGTCGATCTATGCTAAACCATCATTGAAAACTTGAAAGCACTGAACGACCGTTTCGTCCTAGTAAGACTGTTCAGTAATGCGCATCAACAATCCCACATGCAGGGCTCGACCCCAGGACTCTTGGTCTTTTGTGCGAACGCCTAACCTCTAGACCAATGAGTCGGCATTCAACGGTGTTGATGTCTAACTGTAATCGATCCATTCAGTTTTTCAATGATGATCTAGCATAGATCGACTCATGAATTCAAATCTTAAAACTTATTACAATCACCACGAACCCCCATTTTAATAAAAAATTCGAAATGTTTACGAAGAATGCGAATGAAAAGGTCGATTACGTAATCAACACCAAGAGGATATACGCTGATTTATATTAAATAGGCACATGAGTTGATAAAATTGATCGACGTTTACTGAAAGTAGAGTTACAATTTTAATAATGATAATCATAATTATATTTTAAGAGAATATACAGATCCTTAGGATAAAGTATGTTAAAGATTCATTGACTCGATATTAAGGTGTCAGACATGGTGCAAAAGATGAAGAATATTTGTAATATTTATGAATGAAAAAATAATAAAATATTGAAAGAATTCACAGATTAATTTTGAGATACCGACACAAAGATCTTGGATACGGAATCTGGAGTTTTTTATGAACCATAAACCCTTTTGTGCACATAAGCTGAGTTTTAAAAGTCAAATTAAGCATGCAAGTGGATTATCAACAACACACAACCTTGGTAACCGAAACGGTCACTTCATGATTATATTCACTTAATGATCAAGTCTGCTTACAAAAACGTCGACATATCGTTTACATAGTCTAAATAGTCACATTACTCTATCTTTTGCGCATTGATCCAGCTTCAGGGCCACTTCAGTAACAAATTTAACGATCTCTTTAAGAAATTAAATCGTTGAAAGCAACGAATAGTGTGTACAAAGAAGTTAGTTTTATTGACTGCATTAATCTACCATTATGTTCATTTATTATTCCGAAAGCTGTATTTGGATCGCTTGAATGGCATAGATCAAGATATAAGCAAAATGACACTAAGCATCATTGGATTATAAATTATCAAGACATCCAGGATAGAACCCTCTTCTTTCTTCGGAAATGAGTGCTTCTTCAAGCAGAGGTAAGTGTATACAGTAATGGAAGATCTTAAGCGCACGAGGTGAAATAGATTCATTTAATCGTACAATGATTGTTATTTGTCCCTTACAAAATAATAGGGAACTAAATATGTGATTTCAAGATATTTCTCTCGACACTCACCGAACGATAGCATTATAGTTTTGCTACTTAAGTTATAAGAACTCAAATGAAAGACTAATGCACAGAAAGTATGGTAAAGTTATTTTCATATATGTTAATATTATTTCTTCGTAAAAAGAAAATAAATTTTGCATTCACTTTTGTTTGACATTTATGGTGGGTTTCAAAGAAAGACAAAACTTCATCTTAATTCACCTTTTTTGCGTAGTGACCAACCAGTATAGTTCAGTTTTTGATTAAACTTTGTTTTAAAATGTTAAACATTCCTTTATTTGATTTTAACTGTATTTTATTTTCATTAATATTCAAGATGCAACAGAATACATCAAGTTTCTTCTGTACTGATCAGTTGTTTAATAAAAGAAATGTTATTAGTGCACACTGAATACGTCTAAGATGGCTATCAACACCTGTTGTTGCCATAGAAATCATATTAGTTCTGTAAGTAATTTACTTTCCTTACTATTATTCACAAGAATAACAATCTACCAAGTAGCATGAAAACAATATAATTAATATTTGGTTGAGCATAAATATTTAATCATTATTACTATAGACATTATTATTGTTAGTACTATAAACTAACTGAATATCATAACTTTGATGTGCATATGATATGCCGCCATTTCTCTGTCTCTATCTCACACCCACTTTAGGCATAAGTAAACCTCACTATACTGTTAATTCAAAGTTTTATTATTAATATCATTCTAAACGATAACAATTATTATTACTATTATCATCATCTTAATTGTTATTAGTAGTTACAGTTGTAGTATTAAGAATAACTACTAACAAATGTAATTTGTATTAAATAGGCTAAGTAAACATAATTATTTAGTCTGAAAATTATTCATGCAATCAAACACACACTCAAATATATATATATATATATATATATATATATATATATATCACGCAATATAATAAAATGTCTCAGTAAGTAACGCCACTAAATACATTTGTAATTGCAAAATATAGACCTAAAAAGAAAAAGACAAACAAAAGTATAAATAAATAGTAGTAACATGATAAGTAGTTTGTTAAACATACTTATATGAATAATAACAGTACTACTATTATTATTAGCTGCAATGATAATGAAAGCATATGTTAGCCGACCACATCAAAAGACTCTATTAAACAAATTAAATTTATGTGTGCTAATAAGTACTGGATACAACTACAATTATTATTATTACCCAATGAATAAAATACTTATCTTTTAAATGGTAATTGTAGGATAGAGACAAGAGAACATAAAACTGACTTGATGAATACTACTTATTTAATTAAATTATACATGATCTACATAGTAGGTAAGTCTACACTTAGTTCAATGAGGAAATAACTTCACGAGAATGATATTACAATACTTTCATAAAATATGAAAATCATACATTAAATACATTGTTTTCATATTGTCCATTAGTTGTCCTTTACTTACTTCATGATTCTTCTAATTCAGTCATTATTCCAATCGCTCCCTTCTTTCTTGCCTTCTTTAATTCAGTATTCTGCTGACAGGCATTCTACTTCTGAATAGTGCTACATAATACTTATATCTGTCAACATAATTAGAATATACCACAATATTTATAATACAATTATTACCTTAAAAACTAGTTTTTTAGGTAATTTCTATCTTCTCGTCTAATTAAAACTTGATTTGTAAGTAGCTAAAAAGTAGATCTTATCAACTAAGCATTTAAAGTTATTTAGATAGCCACTGTTTGTTCATGTTTCATATCTTTTATACATGTTTTCTTTATTTCTGGAAGTCAGAAGTTTCGAAAAGTAAGCAAATCTTTCAGTTGATACAACTATAACTGAAAAACTCAGCGGTTATTAGTAATCACATAATGTTTTGAAATGCGTTTTAAACTAAGCAGATCAATACAAATGCTTTTACTATCGGATACAGACAAATTCAATGTTTAATACTAGTCATGCATTACAGGGATTACATTTTGATTCTGTCATACATTTTGATCTGAAATCAAGGTAGTTGGATGAATTAAGCACTCGATCTAGACATTTGGCTCTAGAAGCCATTTCCATCCAGTAAATATTTACGAAATTTATTTCAAAACTAGTTATCAGTAATCACAACACTATGATTAATTATTTGAGCTTCCTACGAAAATCTGTACATTTTGAACAACGTTTGCGTCATAAACTAGTATTTCCTGTAAAAACCCTTGAAAATTAGAAAGCACTAAGTAAGGCAGCCAAACCAAAACGTGGCATCAGTGCTTGAAGTCACTAACTTCTAGTCTGAGCCATGTTGGGAGATGTAGACTACTTGGTTGGGGTCCGTGTGACTATCGTAATCAATGGTTGGAGAATCTTGGTGACACGACTGAGAATCGATCACAATGGTGTAGGAGGTGTATACACTCTCTGTCTTCCCTTAAACTAAGAGATTAAAATCGCTTCATATCTTTCTTTCTACGAACTGATTCTTTCTTCTTGTGCTATATACTTATACACAATTATTTTTATATTACTACCACTGAAGTAACTGCTTCTATGAATCTGGAGTTCATCTTTTTGTGCGAATAAGGTGTGGCAACTTGGACCGATGCATATATGTGCCTAATCCTACGTTGTAGCTGAATGACTGACTGAAATAAATTTGTCTAAAATAGTTTTAATGCTTAGTTTAATTAATTCTAAATTTTTTGAAAATAAAACTATGCGATTTTCAAAATTCATAAAGAAAATATTTACACAATCTTTATGCCTGTTATTTTTCATCAGAAGATCGAGTGTGAAGTTCATTAATTAGCAAATCACTTTC